TTGAGCCCACCCATGAATTTTAATGAGCCCAATCAATCTCGAAAAATGATATGCCTTAGTATGTGTAAAAAAAACGGACTCACTGGCGGCCTTTCCATAAAAAAAAAATGAGCCCACCCACCAACACAAATATATATTAATATATATATATATATATATATATATATATGTATACATATATTTACCAAAATCAAACACTTTTTCTTTCAGTGACTACTTATATATACTTAATCTTCAAGATCCTAAATTATTCTTACCATTGTCTTATAACTTACATCCATAAATTTATGAATTTCAATAGTTTGCTCTTATTTTGAAAGTATCTCTGCCAATATCCTGAACTACTTTGCAATACATTCAACATAATAATTATCAAATTAACAAACAGATTTAATGTTCATCAACAGATTTCCAAATTGTTTTTAAATATCCGCAATAAATCTTTGGTTCCCCTTTGAATAGTGAATTCATATATGAGAGTTATAACACTTTTTTTAACAATGTTAAATTGCATGAAATAATCCGAGTCTGTAACAGATAGATACACTTAAGAAATTATACAATATTTATTAAAATAAATAATTATAGAAATCTATTTAATTACATTTCAAAGTTATTTATATTATATTTCAAAGAATCTTTTCTTACTGCTTTAATAAAGCAATATCAAATATTTAATTTTATATAAAACGTAGTCCTCTCTTACCTATAAAAATTTAAGCAAGCTGTACCCTTACACTCGATAAGATAAATTTTATCTAAATGCATTATTATTTATTTTTAAACAATGTTTTTGTATACTGTATCATAATCCTGTAAGGTAGTTATCACTTTGTTGGAATATAGAATCAGTCGATCAAGAATATTTTTTTCCTGAAATATAAATTGTAAGGATTGTAACGTAAAATATGTTTTAAGATTGATTGTTATAAAAGATAATTTAAAATATAAATAAACCACACTAAAATTATATAGCAAAATTTGAGTTATGATATTGAATTATATCGAATAATAAATATGCCATTTTTAGTTCCATTCAGAATAAAAAGTCAATTATAATACTTTTAATTATGTATTTCTGCAATTCACATATTAAAAGTTTGATAAATCAGCATAATCAAATGCCTGTATATAGCTCAACTAATTATAAATATAAACATATTATACAATGCAAATACATTATACAAAGGAGTACATAATCAATCTTAATATGAATTTTGTCAAGTTCATGATCACAGTATTGAAATGCAATATAAAACATTAATTAAATGTTTCATTTGTTTACAAAACATACAGAATTCCTCTGTAATTTGTTAATTTATATCAAAATATTTATGATAATAAAACAATCATGTATTCATTAACCTTTTTGAATAATTTCTCCATACTGTCTTCAGCGACACAAAATTCTGGTGCATTTTTATCCTGAAAGGATAATACATACATTATGGTATTAATAATGGTAGTGGACTCACTTATTGTATACTCAAGTTTCAAAACTTCTAATGCTTTTTTAGTTTTTTCTTCCTCCGATAAAGAATTTTCTTCAAGAGCATTTATTGCCAGTTTACATAGTTTTTTATCGCAGAAATAAAATGGATCGTCAGGAAGATCTTTTACCATTACCTGTTCATGTAGCTTTTTATAATATTTCATTAATTAACTGAATATTTGGTATATGTTCAACTCGACAACTTTCTATATCAATAGAACTCAGACTACATAAGTAATACATCATATTCTCTGCAGATAGACGCTTAGCAGATTTTTTCTTTGTCGATACACCTTTGACTTGATAATCACCTACTCGACAGATCATCTCAAATTGAATGGGATGCGATCTTCTTATGGTGTCACCTAATTCATATACAGGTGATGGCAACCTATGTTCTTCACAGAAATTCGATAAACTTGAAATAGGACAAGGCTGTTGAGGAGTATCTGTCACCTGATAAATGGACTTATCAAACATTTGGCCAGAGTATAAGTCACGCGATGCTAATTCTTCTAAGACTTTTATTGAAACAGCATGTTTAGCATTGATTTTACTTTTACCACTGGCGACTGCTCTAATTTTGTCTTCACCAATTATCACATAGAGCTCATAAATGAAAATAGGATTTTTTGCACGTGTCCCATTCTTGATCATGTTGAACATAAATTTATACGAGTTTTTATTACAAAAACGATGTACGATTTGCGCGGGTGTTATATTTGACATTTTGAAATAAATTTAGAAAAATTAATATTACAGATTAAGTTAATTTGCACAAACAACGTCCGCTCGTCTGTTCAGAAATCTGTAATCACTATTTTGAAACGAATGCCGCCCGCACAGCGCAACAGACCTTGCGACTTGCGACTGTCTGTCGTGTTGCCAACGGTGACAATCTTTTAACTTCGCGTAAGGTAAGTGATCGTAATGGGCCAAAAATCGAAAATGAAATTTTTTGCATATCTTCATGTTTCAGGGGTTTCTGAACCTATTAGCACACCTCATAATCAGAATGGATGTGGCTGTATATGTGTGTGTGTGTTTTTTTTTGTATAGCGAAGGAAATGTCTTTATGAATCCCAGACTGGTCTTTCGTTGCTGGGTATGTCGGACTCAATACCGGCATTACTTTGTGGGGGGAGGATCTAGAATTTTATAATTTTTACCTTGATTTCATACTTAGCTTTTAATTGAGCGAAGTCCCATTCGCCCTTTCTTCTTCTAAGTAATTCTTCGCCTCAATATCTCTTCTACATCGTCCCGTAGAGCACTAAATCGTAAGCACACGAAGAACACCTGTTCAGCATTTTCGATTTCGCCCAAACAATATGGGCAATCCGGCAAACTATCGTGTTTGAAGCGGTGTATGTAGGCTCGAAAACAGCCGTGCTCAGATATATTTGCGTAGTGTAATAATTCACTTCTCCATGCTTGCGATTTAACCAGATTCTAATGTTTGGAATGAGACGATGCGTCCATCTGCCCTTCAGTGCGACATCCCATAGTTGCTGACATCGGTCAATGTTTTTCTGCCGTTCTTCTATTCTCAACTTTTCAGTACTCAGTTTGTTGATGTCTTCTATAGTAAATAGTCCGTTTTTTCTCTGCTAAGACTAAGAGAGGCAGAGTTCCTGAAACGACGCACACTGCTTCCTCCGATATTGTGCAAAATGCGCAAGCAACCCTTAAAGCACTCAGACAATTTATAGGTCCTGCCATTCTCCTCGCATGGCTTAGAACAGAGCCCTGCGACACACTTCCTGTTATATTAGATTCTTCTGTACCACCGCGTGAATCGTACATTATAATTCTGTCTGTAAAGTAGCTTGCGATTATATTGCAGAGGTATATTGGCACGTTCTTATCATGGGCTACATTCATAATGCAATCCCAGTTTGCAAATTTGAAAGCATTTTTGATATCCAATGTAGATACTAGACAGTACTCCTTTGCACCACCCTTCCATCTGGTTCCAGCAATTGCTTTCTTGACGGTATTAACTACCAAGTTTATAGCATTGATAGTTGACCGCTCTTTGCGAAAATCATACTGATTGTCTGCTAGGAGTGGGTCAATTACTGCATCTATTCTTTGGTAAATTATTTTTTCAAAAATTTTACCCCCTGTATCCAGCATGCATATCGGACGGCAAGATGATGGTTTATTTGGTGGTTTTCTTCTTTTGGGAAGAAGCACTAATCTTTGCTGTTTCCATTTTCGTGGAAAAACCCCGTCTTTGAGACATGTATTATAGGCATTAAGAAACTTTGTCGGAGATGTCATAATTGATGTTTTTGAAGGCAAAATTAGGAATTCCATCTAATCATCGGCCTATTTCTAGCCCGATGACAAGCTTTCATCAGTTCTTGCAGTGTAATAGGTGGAATATTATTCAGGTTTGCACGGTAGTTTATATTAGGTTGTTATGGGAACAAAGTAGTTACTTTTTTTTCAATGGTCGTGGGCAAGTTGGTGAAGGCATTGGCTGGCGTTTCAGGCGAGACATTAGTATCTTATAAGTCTTTCCCCATGATTTTTCTCGACTTTATCCAGAACTTTTTTCCAGCACTCAACTTTTCAATCTTCAATAGATTTATTTAGTTGACGACGTGCCTGTTTGCATTCCACTACCAGTTGTGCAGAATATGTAAAACTATAACCTCGCTGAGAGATTCTTCTTTTCTTATGGCACTCTTTACAAAGAGAGCTGATTTCTTCATTCCAGTGCACCTCTACTAGACGATCTAAGAAATCAACAAAATCTGGCAAAGAAAGGCTAGGTGGAGCGTAACAGCTGTATATAATAGATGCCATCTAATGATGCTGCTACAAATCGTTGCTATTGTTAACGGCGTTCTGGAAACAAAATTTCCCACAGGACCGAGTAACAGCTTTGGTGGTACTGTCCGTTTCCCATGGCCTGCCAGTTAGTTGTTTGTGAAGTTCTGATAAGGGGACAATATCAATTTTATTTTCTCTTACAGTCTGATCTTCTTGTTCACATCTAATGCATAAATTGGTGCGATTCACTTCGCTTAATGTTCGTGCTCCATAATGTCCATAATGCTCCATAATGTCCGTACTGTAATTGGTTTCTTGATGGTTTTAATTCGACAGTTGACCCATCCAATTCGTATTTTGCTACTTGCTCTGAGCAGATCGTGTACAATTGCCGCAGGTGAAGCTACAGTAGCAATCTGTGTACCTCTGTATGCCTTACGAATCTTAATTGCTTCTGCTGGTGTGTTGCAGGCTTTTCCGGTTGCTTTTTGTAGTGCAGACTGGATATCAAATTTTGAGGTTTCATCGGCCTCATCCTTTAACACGCCTGCGATAATTTGTTGTAGTCCTTTTCTTGATTATCAAGAAGTCTCCATTTTTGGTTTTATTTATTTTGTCTACTATCGTATTTACCTGGTCATCAGGGACATCTTGTTTGATACGACGTAAGATTTCTGAATAAATAACCTTTTCCGTAGGCCTAACTAATAAGGCATTTGGTTTGGTAAATATTCTATGATTTTTTATCATTTTATAATTAGAGTCCTGTTCTGACAGATGTACCCTTGCTTCATTTTTGCTTGGCTGAACTTTATGCCAGTTATTTACCTCAATTTGTTCTTCGTTTCGTATTTCTATGATCGACTGACATCTTGGCAAACCATTTTTCTCATTAAGCTGACTGTTTCTTATATTGTGTGAGTTTCGGTTCCTTGAGGCTTTGCTTATGCCCTACCATTCATTTTTCTCTATAAGGGCTGTTTCACCACTTTGGACTTTATTAACTTCCCGTAGGGCAAGTTATAGAAATCGAAAAAAAATCAAAAATGAAAATTTTTATATATCTTACGTTTCAGATACCTTTATCTGAATATTTTGGCATACCATAGAAAAAATGGATGTATGTGTGTGTGTGTATGTATTTTTCTCTTTTTTTGTTTAGCGAAAAAACTGCATTTATGCATCCCAGACTGGTGCAAACTATCTGGGTATGTTGAACTCAATACCGCCCTGGTATAATACCGACTAAAACTTTCGCTTTGTCCTTGCCTCTGGTCCCCACGGAAACCGCCGTTAAGAATTACTTCGTGGGGGGAGGATCTAGAACGTTATAGTTCTTAACTTGTCATAATGAATGTTATAATTCTTAAACTTATACTCATCTTTTAAATGGGCGACTTTCCATTCGCCCTTTCTCTTTCTATAGAACGCAGGTCAATTTGTACCTCTCTCGCAAATCTGTCTATGGCGTTCTAAGCAGCATCACTTCAACAACATTATTTGGGGTAATTCTGCGTCTCATTGTCTCTTCCACATCATCCCGAGCACCAAATCGCGGGCATACGAAGAACACATGCTCAGCATCTTCGATTTCGCCCAAACAATATGGGCAATCCGGCGAGCTATCGTGCTTGAAGCGGTGTAGGTAGGCTCGAAAACAGCCGTGCCCAGATAGCATTTGCGTAGTATAATAATTTACTTTTCTATGCTTGCGCAATTAATTCTTAAAGCACTCGGACGATACATAGGCCCTGCCGTTCCCCTCGATATTTGAGTTTTGACAGCATCAGCCCATATGGGTATACCATATGTCACCACCGAAGTAACCACTGATGATAATAATATCCTTCTGGTTTGTTTAGGGCCTTCAACATTAGGCATCAGTCGAGCAAGTCTCGTCCTAACTATTGACGCCTTAGCACTAACGTGTTCCACCCGTTGATTGAAATTCAAACGAGCATCAAGCATTATGTCAAGGTAACAGATGTGAGATTTTGGCGTGATCCCCAGATTTCCTATCTTCAGCTTGATGGTCTCTATTGTTTTTCTACTCCTGATAAGAACAGTTTCACTTTTTTGTTGTTTGGAGGTTCATTGTTCCCATCCAGCGAGTAATTTTTCTAAATGTTTGGAGACAACTACTATGGCAACATCGTCTGCATATGCTACTAGTTTCACACATGCTGGAATCTCAAGTCTCAAAAAGCCATTCCACAGCAAAGGGCCTAGAACAGAGCCCTGCGGCACACCTCCTGTTATGTTATATTCCTTTATACCATCGCGTGAATTGTACATTAGAATTCTATCTGTAAAGTAGCTTGCGACTATGTTGCTGAGGTATGCAGGCACGTTCTTGTCACGGAGTGCATTCATAATGCAATCCCAGTTTGCAGAATTGAAAGCATTTTTCATATCCAATGTAGCTACAAGACAGTACTTCTTTTCACCCCCCCCTCCCCCTTCCATCTGGTTCCAGCAATCGCTTTCTTAGCGGTATTAACTACCAAGTTTACAGCATCGATAGTTGATTGCCCCTTGCGAAAACCATACTGATTGTCTGCTAGGATTGGGTCAACTACTGCATCTATTCTTTGGTGAATTATTCTTTCAAAAATTTTACCAGCTGTATCCAGCATGCATATTGGACGGTAGGATGATGGTTCATCTGGTGTTTTTTTCCTTTGGGAAGAAGCACTAATCTTTGCTGTTTCCATTTTCGTGGAAAACCCCCTTCTTTCAGACATGTATTATAGGCATTAAGAAACATTATCGGAGATGTCATAATTGATGTTTTTAAGGCAATATTAGGAACTCCATCTAATTCCCGTGCCTAACTATTTCCAACCCGATGACAAGCTTCCATCAGTTCTTGCAGTGTTATAGGTGGAATATTATTCAGTTCTACATGTGTTACCTGGTAGTTTAAATTAGTTACTATTTTATTGTCGCTGAGAGATCCTTTATTTCTTGTGGCACTCTTTACGAAGAAAGCTGATTTTTTCAGTCCACCACTGCACAGATTGTCTTTGATTTATGTCATGCTTCGAGTCATACTGATATCACAGGCTTCGGTTATTCTCTCCATAAGGCTCTCTAGCAATTT